GGGAGCACCCCTTGTGGGGCCTGAACCAACAATCTCATGACTTCTACGTGGTCCTATATTTAGCAGCGCTACTCTATTTATGTGTCTCTGACCATGGCGTCAGCTGTGTTTGGACCGGCCACGTTCTGTGCCGTTACGGGAGGGAGCCGGGGGCTGGGCCGGAGCATCGCCGTGCTGCTGGCGGGGCGACTGGGGCACGGCTCCCGCCTGGTTCTGACCGGCCGCTCGCTCCAGGGTCTACAGGAGACCAAACGGCAGGTGAAAGAGAAGTGCCGGAAAGAGCTGGAGGTGAAGTTGGTGACGGGAGACATGGAAGACTCCACCGCGTACCACGCGCACTTCTGCGACATCTTTGCAGACGCCAAGCAAGGTACTACTGTAGCCTTTCCTGTGGACCATTTATTTATTTTTGCATGTCAGTGGTTTTGCTGGGCTCTTATGCGATTGAGCAATTGTCGGCATCGATATTGAGACAGCTGTTCGCTGTGACATCCCGCTGTGCAAAAGGAAGAAGTGACTCAGAATAGCGGGCCCAGGATAGCGATATTCCTCAAAATCATTCACTACGTTTTGATGGCGAGCTTCAGATGTTAGTTTCCAGCAACTGAAGCCTGAATAATTCTTGCGTGATATTTTTCTCCTTCTTTCTTCATGTCACGCCATGTTTTTGCAGACATCCATCCACATCATAAACAAATTTTACTATCTTCACGTTTGACGTCTCTAGGTGATTTCAACAGCGCCTTGATGATCCACAACGCGGCAACCACAGGTGACGCGACCAAGAAGGCGTCGGAACATTCGGACCCGCAGATTCTGACCAAATACTATGACACCAACCTAACGTCAGTCATCGCTCTGACGTCCAAGTTCATGAAGGTTTGTTAACCTCAATGTCCAAACATGAAATGAACTGGGAAGAAGTGGGAGGAGCGTACTTTTCATAATGGCTACATGTGTATAAAGTCATCAGTTCCGCATAGAAAAGAACATTACAAAACAGCAAGAGATTGATACTGTGCGTAACCGGCCTAAGAAATCAGGCATCAAATGATCAGATGAATAAATGCAATCCACTGTTGTGGTGGGGTGGTTAGTCACCCGGCTCCCCGAGCAGACGGTCACGAGTTAAAAACACAGCCAGTTAACGTTATACTAGTAGCGGAAACTGTTTCAGCACTAAGGACAAGGCCATCTCTCCTCGTCACAGCCGGTGCGATAGGTTTTGGCCGATAGGGAGATTTTGGAGAGTACAGCATTGTCGGACAATGGTGGTAAAATATTGCATAAACTTGTATAATTTATGTTAGTTTAAAGATGTGAAAATGTTCAGACTTCTTCCTCCCATTTCAGGTCTTCCCCAGCGCAGCTGTCAGACGGACCGTGGTTAACATAACTTCTGACTCAGCCATCTACCCTCTGGCGAACCACTCCCTGTACTGCAGTGGCAAGGCGGCCAGAAACATGTTCTTCAAGGTATTCATGGCATTCGAGTACTCCGGGGCAACAGTTTGTTCTTCCCTCCTATGCGCAAATTCAAGCATAAATGTCCAGAAACTTCCAGCAAAATGTTCTGGGGGGGTTTAATTGTTGTTTTTGTCAGTAGTGACGCTTGCTCTTCGTGTTGACAGACAAAGACACACCTCCTGTTCAGACTATACCCTGTATAGTTTGTCAGGGTGTAAATCTGGCTTGCTACACCGTTGATTACACTGCTACATTTGTGTCTCGATTTCTTCCTTTGCTTGCAGATGTTTTCTGTTCTCTTCCTTTCCTCTATAGGTGATGGCGGAGGAGGACCCGGATGTACGTGTGCTGAGCTACTCTCCGGGTGCGCTGGACACAGACATGTTACAGGCGGTCAGGTCGTGCGGAAACAAAGGCGTGGAGGACCTGTGCGTATAGGACTAGTAGCTTGTCGTGAACTAAATACAACATATAGCTTTCAGAATTGCATCGTTTGACTGGCGAAAAAAAGATTACCGATACAAGAAAATAAGAAACACGCTAAAACACGTAAAAGACGTCAAAAATAAGCCAAAAGCCTCTACATGGAGAGTTAAGCATGTCTGATTACTAGATATATTCACACTTTCTTCCCCCCGACTCTACAGAATAAACTCCATCGAGTCTTCCGGAATGATCCTGAACCCAGCCGACTCCGCGGAGCACCTGCTCAACCTGCTGCAGGAGGACAAGTTTCAGTCCGGCGACTTTCTCGACATCTGCAACTTTGACTATCCATGCTATCCAACTTAAATTATATTTGTGAATGAACAGCCAACCTTGCGGGTACATTTTGTTGACTTATACGGTTATCAAAATAGATTGTAAATTATTATCATTTGTGGTAGAAATGAGGAAGTTTTAGAAAAAGAACCTCTTTCCAAACGGCTACCATCATTGAAGCTCCTAAGTGTACAAAAAGAGATAAATACATGTACAGTATCTCAAAACGTTAACGCTAGCACATACGGGTATCTTTTTAAAATTGTCACTTGCTATTGCAGTTCACAAAGTTTAACTTTCATTTCTCGCACAGCAAGCTAGTGCATGCCACTGTTGTTCCCTATCACCTTACCACATTAATATTTTGGTTGATTTTCTACCTTTAGGCCACCGGAAGTACATACAACGCACGTCTTTTATAAATCAATGACTTTATTCCACAATGTGTTACTGTTACATCAATTTGGCAAACACTACACAATCTTATGTACATTTTACAGGTGCCAAGAAGTGTATAACAGTATTCTTCTATCACTGAATAGAATTAATTAGATATTTGTGCACATGTTAGCCATATAATAGAATTTGGTTTTTATTGCTTTAGATATTTACAACTCTTATTTTATTGATTGCACACAATTCTACTGTTTTCCACAGTGGGAATTTGCAATTATTTTGTTGCCTCTTCTCTCTTCTCTTAACGTAATACTTCATCTTTACATAAAACTTCATATTGAACCTATAGTCACCATTTGAGTGATATTGCCAAAATGATGATAAAACTGTGTTAAAATCACAAAATAAAATCAATGACAAATTATGAGAAGACTGTCATTGGAATGTTACATTCTTTTTGGTTCATCTTGTACTATTACACTATCACTATTGGCATGATAGATATTACAAAAAATGAAAAAAAGTCTGAGTTGATAAGCAGACTCGGGCATAACCATATGTGTGATGTGCAGCTAATCACGATTAGTTCGCTGACTGTGCAGTCACGGCAATGTGTATATAAAAGATATAACTGGTCCTAGCACCTACCAAGAAGTGAAAAAAAATGACACACTGTGTATCTTGCCAAGTGCAGATCTTGTTCACTTTGTGATCTGTTGGGAACCTTATATTCTAAGTCAAGAACCCTAATCACAAGATCACCTTGCCACCTGTCATTGGTCTAGCAGTTCTCCTGAATGGTTTCACACGTCAAAGTTTGCATACAGATTGGACCTGGATGTTCTAACTAAGAGCCAGGTCAACTACCTGAAAGTATTATCAAATTTTTCAGTCACGTTTATCTTCACTCTCTTTTCTTAAAGAGCTGCCCAGAGTGGAGAAGGGGTGAGTTTGGAGGTAGAAATAGACATTGTAATGATTAGTGTGTAGACTTTAAACATTTTTGTCTTCAATGCACAGAAATGAATCCTACTTGAGTTTATGTTCTGGTATTGAGGTAACCACAACGGCATTGATTGAGGCTTGGTCATGAATTCTGTCCCAAGGAACCTCCTAAATTGACCAGTGTTGCTCTGGTAAAAAGGACTGCATCAGTTGGAGGTTATCTGCTGATGACTGTCTGTCTGTTCCCAGGCGGCAGGTTCCAGAGCTCCTCCTCCTCTGGGTAGATCGTCCTCTTCCTGGGGGAGTAGATCAGGTTGGATGCTGCTGTAGGGGTTGAGAGAAAGCTGGTGTTAGATCTCCAAGCAGATATTTTAGTAATTCATTATAGAATAGGATTCTTCTTACACAACTCCAAATGTTATGAGAGATGCCAACATCCTGGCAGCCACTTTATTTGCTGCAATGATTGTGTATTTCATATCAAAGTAGAAATGATGGTTCCCCTTACTTTTTGGTCTCTTGATGGGAGTGGGTTTTTCATTCCGGGGTGGCTCTTCACTCGCATATCCACTAGATGCCAAGTTCCCCTCCCGTTGCTTCTCCACTGCTCTGTTGCAGTAGTCTAACTTCACGTAGGATGGCTTCAAATTCTTCCTGGAGGAACTCAGCATGTCCTTGGCTTTCCCCACGGGCCTGAGGGGCTTGTCTAATTTCAAGCAAAGAGAGTGTTGGGAATTGTGAAGGTGGCTGTAGAGAGCTGCGGTGTGTGCATCAAGACTTTCCACTGGAAGGACAGAGGACAGGGAAAAGGGAAAGTCACACAAAAGCCACTGCAAACAATCAAAACCACTGCAAATACTTTTTAGAGGGTACAGGAGAAATGTTTGGTCTGCAAGTAAGAAGCATGATGGTGTGGTAGAAAGTGAGTTAGAATTAGAAAATAGTGATATATAGATCCTGAAAATAAAAAGTTGTTATAAGTTTGGTGAACTAATTGGAAAACAGGTAGGAATATTTGACTACAGCACCCATATACAGTACCTCGTGGGATAGGTGGGTAGTATATGTAGCCCTTCTGTCTGTAGGCAGCCTCCCTCTGTGTGGTTCTCCTGGGAGGTGGATGGGGAGTTCTGGGTAGAAGTGGCATCTCCTTAGGCTGGTCCCAGGCCTGCTGGGTACCTCTCCTTCTGGGGCTGTCCTTGGAACTGTTAGAACAAGTGAAACATGGGTCAGCCAGCTTTCAAACATTCAGTTTGATAAGAATTTTGTCATTCATGATATGAGAAGACAGTGTTTATAGTCACTGGTAACTTTCTCAGGAACAGAACATTGCAAAACAAAACCATTACCACTGACCTGGCTTTCGCCACAGGGGGTGTGGACGGTACACTCTCTGTGTCTGAGATGGAGTCTTCCTCCTCAGAGGAGTCCTCGTCAAAGGAGTCACTGCTGTAGGAGTAGTTGTTATGGGGTGTCTCTCTGGGGCTGGGGGGTGGACTTGGTCCTCTTTCTGTGGGACAATCACAACAGCTGAGTTGTCCATGGTGCTGAACTGACTTCCACAGAATGGTTTCATAAGTCAGCAGTACTAAAAATCAAGCTCTTAATCAGCATTTGCCACAGCTAATGCTGTTAAGTTGGAGTTTGATCATTACTTTAAGGAAAACCAGACTGTGGGGTGTGCATGGCTGGATCCAATCAATTCCTGGTGAAAGCTGATTAAGGTTGATAGCTTGTTTTAAAAACCGTTGCTTTAATGGAGTGAGTCAACCAGTAGAGTAATCTCACCTGGCTTTGGACTGGAGCTTGATGACCGGTGCCTGCTCCTGTGCTGAGGGGACGTCCCTCTGGAGTGGCTGTACGTTTTCTCCCTGTGGTGGGAAGGAGAGGGATCCCTGTACTGTGGTGACGGCTCGTTTCGCCGTGGAGACGGGTGATGCCTACGGTGCTGGGAGCGTTTGTTGTGGCGTGAAGATCTCTCCCTGTGTGTAAACGAGGCCCTGCTGGGCTGAGGTGGCAGCACGATGCCGTCATAAAATTCATCATAGCTGTCCCTGCAGTCTTTGCCCGTCTGCTTAGAATGCTCCATTTGACGAGGGGAGTGTTCAGTAAATCGTGTGTGGGAGTGCTCCCTGTGGCGGGGAGAGGAGTTACTGCGGGAGGGGGGTGAGTGCTCCCGGCTGGCTGCAGACCGTGGAGATGTCTGGGAGGATGCCTCTCCACTACCTGGGCTGATCTGACTTTTCAGGTTCTGAAAGTTTGAAATTGTAGAAAACAGAGGTAATCAATAGTTGTGGTCGTCAGAATACTGAGAGCAAGCATGGAGAGCAGTAGAAATGATTGTCTCTCCAAACTGTGCTGTGCCAAATTACTTAATGCTGATGCCATTTTCATACACATAGATACCAGTGTTGAAGTATGGTGAAGGAAGTGAAAAGAGCCTCAAAGTACCTCAAAGAAATCTGTCATGGCCTTCATTTCCTCCTCCACCATCTGCTGCCTCCTCATTTCTCTCTCCTGTGGGAAACAGGAAAATTAACAAACATACACAGCATCTGACCAAAACAGAATGCCTCTGAAGTTTTGAAAAGTTTTGCACTGCCAACTACATCACATACAATATAAGTCACTGTGACTGACAGACAGAGGTGACTGACCTTGATTTGCTTCTGTTGTCTCTCCTGGTCTAACAGTTCCCTGGTCAGCCTCCGCTCTTCTTCCTACAAGTACACAAAAATGTAGATTACTGCCTACAAAATCAATTTCAGACTCTCAAGTAAAAGAATGGCATCATGCTCCCAGCTGGACATTACCTTTGCCATCCTGGTGACTTCAGCGTTGAACTGTAGCAGGCGTTGGATGTAGGAAAGTCTACCTGCAAAGTAAAGCAAATATGACCAAGGATCAAACATTGACAGTCCAGGGTCTACAGCAATTAATGTAAAAGGGTTGCAATGATATAATTTCTCTTGATAGATTTAAAAACTACTGATAGTAGCCAGAAACAAAATCTTCTGATTAATTTTCTTTTCTTGGTTTAGTTGATTACATTCAAACTCTTCAGATGAAGTACATAGATATAAATTTAAAGATTACATAGTACATGTACATACTTTTTAAGTGCTCTATCTGCTCTGGTCCTGTGCTGCTGCTAACTTCCCTCAGAATCCTCTCTTCTTCCTGTAGCAGGGCTGAAAAGGGCATCCCTCCATTTTGTTGGCTATCAGCCTCTTGGACTGTCTCTGGTATTCTCCTGTCCAGATCTTTCTTCCACTCCTGTAGCCTGCTCTTCCTGGGACTCATCACTAGAACACTTCTGTTCAGGGCAACAGGAAACGGAGCTGAGCTTGGACGCAGCCGTCTCCTTCTGTTCTGCAGGTAGTAGCTGTCTACCATGTCTTTCACATTTACATTGTCCTGAAACAAAGGGTTGGCCTGGATCCCCTTAACCAAGTCTGGAGAAACAGGTCTGTGGACAAAGCTGCACTGAATCCCTGCCGACTTTTGCCTGGTTTTCATGTCCATGTTGGCTTGTATCTTCACATTTCTCACCCACTTTACCTCCTTCTGTGCTGATATGGTCTTGTCCACTCTATCAGTGGTTGTGGGAGTGACAATGTGAACTTTCTTCTTTTCTTTACTGCAGGTTTTCTGATTCTCCTCACTGTCTTCATCCTGTAAGATAGTCTGGAGGATCTGCAGAGACGGCTCAGTTTCTGGGGTCTCTGTCATTTGCTCTGCCCCCTTGCTTTCTTGATTCCCAGAATTGATTTCATCACACTCCTGCACCTGATGGTTGACTTCCTTGTCATTTTCTCCAATCTTTGCACTGTCAGCTTTCTTACTGTCACTGGAAGACTCAGCAGGGGATGAAAGTCTATCTGTAGACAGCCTGTAGTCTTCCTGGTTGTCTCTGTGTTTATCAAAATCCATTTCTCTATCTACCCCTTCTGTTGTTTCATCATCCACCGTAGACTTCTTGTCTTCTTCTTCATTTTCAATTTTCCCCATTGCATCTGCCATTTCCTCCTGTTGGTTATCTTCAGATTGTGTGCTGTTGTTGAAGTCTGATGATATGTCCCATGTTTGAACAACATTTGGTGCCTCTTCTGGACCTTTTGTTGTTTGATTGTCGCCAACGGAGTCCTTTTCAGATGCCTCTTCCTTTTCATCTGATTTCCTTGTTGGGCTGATAGAGTTGTGATCCTCCTCCCCACCATCAGTTTGTTCATTGTTGCTAGATGACAAGTCCTCGTGAGACTCCTCAGTTCTTTTCTCACCTTTTGAGGCTATTTCATGAGAATTCACATTTTTGTCATCATTATTGGTGTCCACCTTCTCCTCCCCTTCATTGGAATCACTTTTTTCCTCTTCACTAGAGGAACAACAATCTTCATCAGCACCATACATTGTTCTTTCATGTTTTGAAGCTGTTCCAAGAGGTTTTGTTGTCTTATCATCAACAGGATGAGAAGCTTCTAGCACCTCTTCCTTAGCATCCCCTTGCTCCTCCACATTAGAACAATGATTGTCAGTGTCACCCTTTGCTCTTTCACCTTCTAAACCTGTTTCTTCTTCATTAGGTTGAACAAGTTGTTCTTCATCACCATCCTTATTCTTTGCCTCTGTATTGTGTTTAGAATCTTCTTCACCTTCTTCAGTTTCCATCTCACAATTGGCATTAGTTCTACTCTGGTTTTCACTCTCCTTTTGCTGTTCTTCTAGCTTCTTTTCCTCTTCTGTCAAAGCTTCCAGGATCACAGTTTCAACAAGTTCTTTAGCTTTCTCTCTCAGTGCCTCTTCTCTTTCAAACTCTCTCCTTTGTTTTTCCTCCATTTGTTTCTGTTCTTCTAATTGTCTGTTTTCTTCTTCTTCTCTTTGTTTTGTCTCTTCTCTTTGTCTCTTCTCTTCCTCCTGTTGTCCCCTCTTGATGGAGCCAGCTTTCCTGACAGCACCGGTGACTGTCCTGGCTGCCTGGTTCTTCACTTTTGCAGACTTTGCTGTTCCCCTGGCTCTCAGGTAGTTGGCCAGTTCTCTGTGTCCATTTTGCTCAGCAAGCTCTCTTGCTGTCATGCTGTTGCCCTACAGTGAAGAAAGGTAGTTTGTTTCCCAATGGTTCTAGGAACAGTCAGTTCCTGTTGTCCTATCTGTGCACTGTTCACTCATTAAGAATATAAGAAATTATATCTATAAATTAGTCAATGATTTTGTATGTATTTTGTTTCTAAAACATAAGTTTTCATGCATCTTGTCAGTTACATATTAGTTTTGTTTAGAATTTCCCATTTGTCTGCAGCTTTTGTATCTAGATAAATAGTGAGACTACCATTGTGAGATTTCTTTCTCTTAATGATGTTATGTAAACACATTTCCCAATCAAGACTGTGAAAATTGGTCTTTGTCTACTTTCTCTCCTCAGCTGTCATGGCTGTTCATCTCACCTGTCCATCCCGGACCAGCAGGTTCCTCTTGCCGCCAGCGTCTATGATCAGACGGCACATCTCCAGGTTGTTGTTTTCTGCAGCCTCGTGCAGGGCTGACCTGCCAGACTTTGACACAGCATTCACATCACAGTCAGCTGCCAGCAGCTGCTTAACCATGTCTGAAATGTGAAAGAAAGATAAGCCTGTGGTCCTGTACAAACTTCACAAGGGATAATGGAGTCTACATCCTTGTAATGTGTGTAATGTCGTAACTGTCATTGACTTTGGGATAGAGAAGGATGGTTAAGTTCACGGCATCACCAAGTGTCCCACTACTCTGTTCTTTCCTTTCAATCATCTTACTTGTAATCAATTATTAATGAAGTTCCTTGTATTTTCCCTTTGCCTTACCTGTATGTCCTCCTTTGACAGCCTCCAGTAGAGCTGTCTCCCCGTCCTGAGTGGGGATGTCTAGGGATCCATGATGCTCCCTGAGGATGGGCACCATGGAGGTCTGGCCCTTTGCTGCAGCACAGTAGGCAGGGCTGAGGACACAGAAAAAATAGTTGTTCAAACTTCATGGTTCAATCAATGTAGGTTCTCACAGTCCATATCAAACAAGGAAGTCAGAGTATGGGCCAGCCAACTGTGTTAATTAAAGGGGGAATAAATGCATCATTCAAGCAGCTCGGGAATGTTGCAGGACTTCTACCAGACAGTTTTGTTAACCAAGTTCTGCTGTGGAATCCACAACAAAAGAGGCACTCAAATTACATGGAGAATTGATGAAAAGGGACCTCAAAGAACACTGGAGTTAGACCAATATATTGAAATCAGGTAATTCAGTCTTAACCACAGACAGGACTGTGGTAGCATCAGAAAAGGATGTTACGCCTACTTTACATGTAATTTCCCAGTCTAGATGTGGACTGTGTCATAGCCTACTTTCGAGACATACATGTAAGCTAAGGTATCCCGTGACAATAACCCCTGTCACCAATGTTTGTTCTTTAAAGGCCAAACTGATCTTGTCAAGGGTTTTGTTGATTTATTTATGGCTATTTCCAGACAAAGAAATGTGACACCACTTTTATTGTTTGGATATTCTCAGGGGAGAAAACTGTGTCTGTATGCTAGTATCTGTTCAGTGACCAGAAACATCTTACCTCCTCCCTTTTATATCCTGGTGATTTGGTGAGGCCCCCTGTTGTAAGAAAAGAGAAGTGCAGGTTCCATGGCCAAAGGATATTGCATAGAACAGAGGAGTGCAGTGGTTCTTGTCCCAACTGTCCACAGGGCAGCCACACTGGGAGATCAGCACATCACAGCATTGGAGGTGGCCTCGGCTGGCCGCACAGTGGAGCGCTGTCAGACCGTCCTTGTCAGCAGACTTGGGGTTTGCACCAGCCTGGACCAACTTCAGGCAGGCTTCAGCACTGCCTGGAATGATAGAAAAAATTTTTTTCAGACAACTGAATTGAATTGAAGGCTGTCCCAGGTGTTCTTTTTTCTTCTGAATTGTTGGTTGCCCTGTTGCTAATGTTACAAAAGGCATGCGACCAAAAGAACAGATTTCTGTACCTGCACTTGCAGCCCACAGTAAAGGTGTTCTCCCACTCCCGTCCACACAGTTAACGTCCGCCCCGCTCTGCACCAGCTTGGAGAGGCAGTGCATGCCAATACCCGGTACCTCGTACTCCGTCCCACACATCTGGGCTGCGTAGTGCAGTGGGAAGGCTCCGTGGACATCGGCAATCTCCGCAGATGCATTGTGATGAACCAGCAGCTCAATGCACTTTGGATGCCCGCAGACTAAGTTGGTGTAAAGAGTTGAATTAAGTTGAGTTAGTGAAAGAATGCAGGAAAGGTGTATGAATGAATATCAGGAATATGACAAGAACTGATGCATACCTGTTGCCCAGTGGACAGGGGTGTGTTTCTCATTATCCTCAATGTCGATGTTCACATCTGTAGCCTGCATCAGTCTCTCCAGAACTACTGTGTTCCCTGCCATTGCTGCAAAATGCAGTGCTGCATACCCGTTACCATCCTGTACATTGACCAGCCTGGCGTTTGCAACAAGCAGAGCAGAAGTGCAGTCTGCATGGGTATTCTCTACTGTGTAGTGTAGAGGGGTTTTGCCAAAGGAGTCTTTTTCCTCCACACTGGAAGGCTGTGGGAGAAAAAAATACATGTACTTTTGTTGATGAGAGGGCACATTAGTACATGTACTTGATTTCCAACAAATCCCCCTCCTCCTGTTGAATACTGCTGTTTAACTAGGAAAACAGTGTACAAAAACTGCATTTAAAACTTGTCAGGCATTTGAATTCTAAAAGATTAATAGAGTTGTTACTTTAAAAATCAATTAACCCTTGTCTTTTTTTCTAAATGCTTCACTCATGTACCCTTTCTGTTCTGACCTCTCTATAAGAAACTTTTATTACTTCACCTTTTCTGTCACACAACCATTTCACATTGTAGCCCCAAATTAGACCCACCTGTTTCTGTAAGATAGCTTGTACTGCCTTGGTATTTCCCTCTAAACATGCCTGCATCAGCAGGGTCATGCCATCGATCCTCTCTGGTTCAGTCATTGTGTTATATGAACTGTGGTCTCTTCAGTTCAGGTAAGTTTGGCACTTTCCTGGTGATGCCTTTGGTCATGGCAAAGTGCCTGAAGAAACAGTAACACAAGGGATATAGAAGTCAGTTTCCGGTCTTCTATAAAAATGCTCTGCTCTGCCTGTGTTGATGCTGATGGCTGACATTATTTCTCACTAAATGATTGAATGACTGTTAACTTGCCATGTTGCTCTGGAACTGTCTGATACAGTAACTGCAGTTTGTCATTATCATTTCACCCACCTCCCCTGTAGTTAGTACTGTAACTGTAGATCCCTTGGGATCATCTTACCTTTTACCACATCACACACTTTAATTGACTCAGACCAGATAATTTACTCTTAGATAATCCAGATAATTGGCCCCATCCTGGCTAGACCAATTGGAACTGTCTCCCCTGGGGTGACACAAATTGGCACATAAATCAATTAGGTTTCTAGATAATTGGTTTCCAAACAGACTTTAGAGGGGACTGTCATGTTTTCCAACTGTACTCTTTGTCCATGAGGTCTGTGTGTATAGATAGTAAGTACTGCTTCCCCTATAGACAATGCCATCTTCCCATATATAAATTTTTCTCACAAGACAGAGTGTATAGAATGAAGTAATGATAAAGAGGGATCAAGTTTGTTGTGCGAGTGGGAACCAAGCTAACAAAAAATATGGTACACAAAATTTGTTCAAACATTAAAATGGCAGCAAATAAGAACAATGTTTCACACAAACACATGTATCTCTCTTAGTTGCAATGGCATGCAGGATAGTAATGCAGATTGGGGGTTAATATCAGGCTGGCATTTGTTTGGCCCTGTTGTCTTTGCATTGCCACCCTTGGCAAACACCAGGTACTTGACAACTTTGTTACGGGCCCACAAAAAAGAGTAGCACAACAACAGTAACACCATCCTTTCCTTTTCAGTCTTACTTATTTCTGCGTCATCAACTGAAAATTGCTGGATTCACTAAAATATGGGAACTTTATTTTTGTACAGACACTCATCCAACGTATTCCTAACCTGTTATGTAACAAATCCTGCCTGTATAAAGATGTCAGCAAAACAGGTGTCCTTGGGAACACAGCAACAACAGGTTACATATCAGACACCTCGAAGCATTTATAACACCATAAAAGTAAATGACTAGTAAAATGAGGCTGTAAATGAGACATAATCTCTGCGAGCCTCCCTTCATACAAATTGATAGGAGCCTGCTTTTTGAAGAGAGGTATCAATAACAGTGCCCTCATACCTTACGAGTGAGGATGCCTCCTGTGTACCCAGGGTTGCACAGACACCTCTGGATCCCCTACACAAACAGCTGGGCAGTTTTAATCCCCTCTGTGGGATTCAGGACTGCATTTGTTTTACCAGCACAGGTTTAACCAGTCTAATCTGACCCCTGTCGGAATGGCTTAAGTATTAACAAGAGCTCTTTGGTGGTCCAGAAGGGCACTTTAACATCCTGTTCACCTTCAGGTCTTCTTTATGATATTCAGGATATTCTTATCTGTCTTATCTCAATGTTCAATATGTTTCTAAAGCATGGATCACAGTCCAATAACTGCTATGAATTTTTATAACACAAAGCAAGTACTTGCACAAAGTATACCGTAGTATATGTATCTATTCATTAATACATGTATGTTGTCATTACCTGAAAAATATATGCATATTCCTAATTAAAACCACATACAAATAGCTAAGTCCATACTAAATATCAGAATATAAGCTCGATTTGCAACAAAGACCGATAAATCGATATGCACAATAAGAGAAAATATATGCACAGGGCAAGTACATGTTTACTGTATAAATAGGTCTTAAAGCCAGAGCCAACTGCAGTATTCTTTGGCAATGATCCTTTAACTAGGTCTAGAACTGCTGCCCACTGTCACTTCATTAGGCTTACCTGTGTGAACAGATCTCCTGGTATCTGTTGGGAATTTTAGGGATAACTACAGGTTGTGTCCCAGCATGTGGCCGCTTAACAGGATCCAAACCACGGCAGCGTACACTCTGTTACGGTCTGTAAACAGTTGCCTAGCGACAATAGTCCCACGGGGCTGGACACGAGTAATTGGTGTGGAGAAAATTTGAAAAACCCACAGACAAAAGATTTGAGCTGGAGCAAGTCGTGCAAGCGACACGCTATGCTTCAAATATGTGATTTGTGAGGAGGACTGGTTGAGTGATCTACTTTGCTGTAAAAGGGAGTAATCTATTTTAGCAGTATGTAATTGTAAATCTTATTTGTCATGTTTGTACCTGCTAACAATACCTCTGTAACCAAGAAACAGGCACAGGGGGCTGTCAAAGGAAAAGGGCACGGAAATAATTCACAAGGGGTCACTTTGAATTAAACACCTTCCAATGGTTCAACTACTGCAGCGACGATTTTATATTTCCTTGTAGTACAAGTACTATTTGCTGGCCTTTTTTTAATTTGCAGAATATCTATTTTCTGAAAAAAAATTCACAACAAAGGATAGGCTTTTTTTACCTAGGAAGTCATTTACAGTAAATTTTGAAGAAGGATTCAGCAAGGAATATAGCATACAATACACCATGTAAAAGGGTATTGATAGCAAGGACAAATAATACATCACTTTGATAGATTTGTATGACTGTCCTCCATTTTGTGGCAGGTCATTCCTGTGACTTACAATATATCAATGATTTTCTCACCATGGGCATTAAGCAAGATCTTCAAATAGCATAGGAAATGCACAATATGGCAACATACTTACAAACAGAACACTTTACAGTAATGGACTGTAAATTGTTTGAAATTGGCACAATCAGAATGCCTTTTACTATTTAGAATTGCTACAATTAAAATTCCTTCAAACTGTAAATCATTTGAAATCAGTACAATTGAAATGCCTTAAAACCACAAGAAGTCAATGATAAGAACTTTGTCTCTGTGTGAATATTTTTTTGAAAGAAACTGTTTCCTTTAAACCGTGACCTTTTCTGTGTCATTCAGACATGAACAAATTTAAACTGACTGTCCAATATTATTATCCATTAACTGTCAAAATTTTATCCAATAAAGCTTTTTTGGGAGAAACATGTGCCATTCCACACATTCTTCCATGCAACATTATATGTACAAACCGTACATGCATACATTCTTCAGGGTCGTTAGAAGTCCACAGCTCTGTCCATTTTCCAAGGTCACCTTGTTTTGTTCATACTATTATTTAAACTTGTTTTGTTCTTACTAATAGTTAAACTATGACTGATTCAGCTGTAAATTTAATCATTTCAGAAGACAGGAATTATCTAAGAACACAGTTGACCCATAAGTTTAGCTTGTTACCCATTATATACTGTTTTAGAAATTAAATGTCAAAAGAACAATGTTTTGTAAGCATGGGGATCATTTTATTTTTCCTGTGATCAAACTACACTTGACTCCTATATACATTGACCATGAATGCATACACTGTTGTTCTCTTGTATCATATCAAATGAGCCTGTCTATGCAATAATACATCCATACCTCTCCTTAAATGCTATTTTCATTTACCAAGAGGTAGGCTACATGTAACATTACCAGTCAACATCAACAAGTTGAGTACCAAACCCACCTTCTGGAAACACCTGCTGAAGCACACACACCTGCTGTACCGGTAGAACTGTTTTTCTCTTCAGTTGACAAGTATTTCCTCAGTGGAGAGAGGCTATTGAAAACCCAACCTTCACTTGAGACCAATGTTTTTTATAACATGGGACATACCATGTCATTTACAGGGTGGACAGGATAGTAACATGCCAAACTACTATAAGACTGAAAACAGACAAGAAAAGACCAGATGGCTGCTTGGTGGTCATTAAATACCTTAAGTAATTTCTTGTCTATACTGAACATTGTTCTCTATTATATGCTGTCAATTTTGGTATGTCTTCCTTCTTTAATACCAGCTTCTGTTGAGCCCTGTGAGCCCTCAATGTGTTTACAATGTTTGCTCTGTTAATACTAACCTGTGCCAACCCATTCCTCATACATTAAGCAACTCAAATATTGACCAAAAACACATCCCAACAAAAGATCCTATGATTGCCAAGTGATACTGAAGAGGTAGACCATGATAGAATAAAGCTGTATGTTATCTTTCAAAACAATCTTGTTTTTATTGAAAAATCACTCTTTGCTGTTAATTACCTTGCATTTTGTAATTCAGGTATTACTTTAGCTGAACAAATTTAAGCTAACGTTATATAATGATATATCATCCTGTGTAATTTTTTTCTCTGACATTTTCTCTGAATTTTTGTGGTGAGATTGTGCTATACAGGAAATCCGCAAACCCAATTTGGGGGTCAATGGTGGATTAGGCTCTCTGGGCCTCTCTTCTGGCCATCCAACCAAACATGGTCTCACGTTACCAGAACCAACAATACCAGGGTGTATTCTGAATAGGCTGATTCATACAACAAGACCAGGGTGTGTTTGGGGATGAATAGTAACCAGTCAATGAGTTTTCTTATCAATGAGGTTACATCAACATCGGTGGTTACATCATGTAACATTTATGAGAGAATCAAATGTTGATCTAGTTTTCTGAATACCTGGATAAGGTGCGCAGAAAGAAGTCATCCCATTATCCCACTTCAGTAGTGGCTGGGCATAAAAGTTACGAATTTAAAAGGATAAGCAAACCCCTTTGGTAACCTTAGGCCACACCAATTTAATTTCTTGGTTAACGGATTTTTCTAGAAAAATAATGGAGCGGGCGGGCGAAAAAAAAAACAGGCCTAGGCATCCTATTATGGCCCAAAATGGTACGATAGGAGCCATGAAGTCAACACACCAGGCTGGTTCAAAATTTAAACAATGAATTTTGAACTTTTAATGATACTACTGCATTGAAAGATGGAATGACTGTAACAAGTAGTAAGAAAAGGACTGTTTTCAACTGTTCAGGGCAAAATATGAGCATTTTGCAGTTGATTCTGAATTTTTATTTTTATTTGCAAATCAGAAAAAAATGAAGCGGCGAATCCGTTAACCAAGAAATTGAATTGGTGTGGCCTTATACAAAATCATTAAAACCCTAAATTTTTGGAATTAAGTCATAACGTTACTGCTAGTCCCACCTTTCCCAGAAATGCCCTGCTCACAAGGCAGAAGGGACTTGCTAGTGAAGGCTTGGGAAAGGAAGACAAGTGCACAAGAGAGGTCAAAAATAGCAAGTACAAAAAGTAAAAAATATGTAACATTACTTTAAGAACTATGCATCCCCACTGGGCCACAAATCACCAAGCTGCTTCTTTCAGCACCTGTCCTGATTCCGTCTCCTGTTGTGGCACAATAGTGGGGGAAACAGAAATAACCATTACATGGGTGAAAAGCAGGAAATGATAGCACTGATTTGTGATGTTATTTGCAGACTTCAGATGAAAATCAGGGACACGTAACGTAAGTATAAATCTTCTCATGGGAGCAATTTGTAGATGACAGGGAGATGCTCAGCACAAGTAACCTTAGCTGGAGCCTTCTGGGACTATCTGGCAGGAAGTGATGAAGGAAACTCATTTCAGCTATTGCACCTGCACCTCCCGATGCTTAAGAGTCAGAGAGTAGGCCATAGGAAGCTTTGCGAAATTTTGTATGTTTTGCAGTGGTCTGTGTTTTCAACTCTTCGCCTAATAGTAAATTATACCAAAGTATCTTCCTAAAAGTAAAGCAGCCTACATCTGCTTGGAGATTTACGCTGACCCGCTCAGGCTGGCCGAGAACACATGTTGCTGACTCGCGAAAACTCAGTGTTACAAGACGTCCAAGTTTGCCACTGCCACTGTGGACGCCTTGAAGGCAATATCAGATGTAACGTTATAACTCTTGTGCCGCATACCGTTACCTGTGCCCTGACACACGTTCCGTTGTTGTTACCCGTTGACCTCCAACATTTTATTTCCGGGTTAAAGCTAACTTTCCTTGGCGACTTGGGAAAGGACCGAGGTAACGTTACCAACATTTTGCACACACAGGAGAAAGAACATGGACTTTTCAGCTCCATTTCTGACCAGGTATTGGTCGCATCTGCTCTCAGCTTTGATAGGTTTCGTTATCGTCAAGTTCTTGGCCCAGAGTCTTTTCGGAAAGCCTGTGGCTATTGACAGGATCGTCCTGTCAATAGCAGAAAATATTGCACTGCTGACAGGATCGTCCTGTCAATAGCAGAAAATATTGCACTGCTGACAGGATCGTCCTGTCAATAGCAGAAAATATTGCACTGCTGACAGGATCGTCCTGTCAATAGTAGAAAATATTGCACTGCTGACAGGATCGTCCTGTCAATAGTAGAATAATTTGCACTGCTGACAGGATTTTTTCCTGTCAGCAGTGCAAATTTTTCTACTATTGACAGGATCGATAAAATTTTGGTATTTTTATTTCATACTGGAAATTTTGGGGTGGGCGCTGGTTCGTGTAGGTCTTATGTTGGTGTTATTACTAGTACATGTATGTATGCTATTAGGCCATTTTTTATGATCCTGCGCTGCGGCCCCTGCAGATCGTCGTGCATACATTGATCCCCCGCTCGGTAGCGCCCTTTATTTCGGCCAATTTCTACTATTTTTCCAGCGATCCGCGGTGCCTGGTAGAGGCTAGTCGGGGCGACAGTAAGCCATTACGGCCGGCGCCGCGGGAATGACACAGCGGCCCACCGGCGGGTACGAGACAGCGCGTCGGGGTGAAAGGATGGCGGACAAGGTCTACTCGAAACCTTACCCTGCAATCAAGAACAGCCACCGTATAAACAATATGGCCTAGCCTGGATGCCATCCAGGCTATTTTACTACAGCAGTGCTATAGACGAATTCCAGCAAATTGACTTCCTTCAGTTATTTAAGTACAGACGTGTGTTGCTTGGTCCATGAGGGGACCCCGAGGTGATAGCTTACTGATGAGTGAAGGGGTCCCCCAGGGCCTGGGGTCTCCGATCAGCCGAGTAGGCGGGCAACAAAACAGTACGGTATTCCCTGCGTAGTCTCCACCAGACTCTTTTGCAGGCTGAATAAATAGTAGAAAAAAATAAAAAGTCGACCCTCTATGGCCGACCAACTCCCCTGGCTAGCTATACTCTTTTTATGCCGATTTCTACAATTTATTCAGACTTCAAAAGAGTCTGGTGGAGACTAAATAGATCTAAATCGTAAATAGTCACTGTTACTTCTAGGTCCTCCTGTCCAGTCAGTTGTAGAACTGTATTGCGTAATGTCATCATCATATTAGAGTAGAGTAGAGTAGAGTAGAGTTGTTCAGGCCGGGTAGGAGTCCTGTTCCAATATTGAGGAGACGTAAATGATAACTTTATTGCACAACAATACTACAGCGTACAAAGTATGGCATCTACTGGTACATAACATAAATTTCAACTATACAGACAATGCCATAGAATTTGTGGATGCCCTTTCCAATGCCGGTTTCGATTCCATTGTCATGCAAGGATCCAAGCAGACGTATCGATCAGGCCGGGGGGGGGGAGATTTTGGCCAATCACAGCTCGCAAAAAGTTTGCCCGCCTGTTTACTCGAAAAACTATGTAAACACAACTGCCTTCGTATTTCAGACAGCTTATGCGTGAAATTCGCCTGTATTTATATTTTGAGCATGTCTAGTTTTGACATGTATCTGCTGGAGTACTCTGTAATGATAATAACTAGCTGTTAACGCGATGATAGCCGCCATCGTGAAACGCCTAATCTACAGTACAGTAACATATGCCTTCTGACTGAAAAAAAATGAAAACATGGTTAAAAAAAATTAAAACATGAAGAAATCATGTCAATACAGCCCAAAATGGAAGATTTAAAAAATCCTGTCAATAGTGCCAAAAATGGCACTGCTGACAGGACGATCCTGTCAGCAGTGCAGTATTTCCTGTTATTGACAGGATCGTCCTGTCAGCAGTGCAGTATTTTCTGCTATTGACAGGATCGTCCTGTCAGCAGTGCAATATTTTCTGCTATTGACAGGATCGTCCTGTCAGCAGTGCAATATTTTCTGCTATTGACAGGACGATCCTGTCAATAGCCTCAGGCTTTCGGAAAAGAAAGAAAGCGACGTTTGTCTGACGATCCCGCCCGCCAACTGGACCTGGATAGAGATGAGGACCAGGACGAGGTCCAAGGAGTACCGGGAGGTCCTCTAAGTTCTGAAGACACAACAGAGCACATTCCTTATCGTCTGAAGAGGTACACAGAGAAGGAAATGTTCCGAAGAGCGGAGGAGTTTTACAGAATGATGGACGAGAGACGGACCGTTAGGTTCTTCAGTGACGATGCTGTGCCGCTAGGGGTCGTGCATACACTGATAAAGACGGCAGGTAGGGGGCGTGGTCACCGTCTTGCTCAATCAAGCCTTTTCGATTCATTGGTATCAATCAACGGTAATTGGCTTACTGCCATTTAGGTTTGGTTAGTTCAAAGTACATACTGTGGTATCTGTTGTCAGACAAACGTCTTTATATACAAATTGTATTACAATGTGAAATGTGTAGGCACATCACCCAGTGGGGCCCACACCCAGCCATGGACATATGTAATCGTCCAGGACGTCAACCTGAAACACCAGATCAGGGAACTTGTGGAGGCAGAGGAGGAGATCAACTACAGGTCAGGTTATGACTTTCTGTTCACCTGCTAAAAGTATGTCAAAACTATAACTTTCTTACTTAAACTGGTTGCTTTGGATAACATCTAACGTTAAGTCAAATGATTTAATTGTACAGCTGCTTTGTTTGTGCTTCTTGTCCATGTAACGTTATTTACTTGTGATTTAACTGTTATATCAAATACATGTACCGTTACAACATAAAACTGTAGGAAGAGAATGAGTGCCACTTGGGTCAAAGACCTGGAAAAGTTACGAACGACATGGGAGAAGCCATACCTGGACATAGCACCCTATCTCATCATGGTGTTCAAACAGACATATGGGGTCGGACCCAATGGGGAGCGACTGAACCATTATTACAGCGAGATCAGCATCTCCATTTCTGTGGGCATTCTCCTGGCTGCAATCCAGGTAACATTTAACTTTGGTATGATCCTGATTAACTTCACATCTGCTCTGATATTGGCTGTCCACCAGCTGCTCTGGTTAGTGGATTTGAAGCTCCTTGGGTTTAGGTTTGATATAGTGTATGTCTGCTGTGTGCTGGGGATGTAAACAATTCAGGCTGCTAGGCTCAGGAACGTAAAAAACGTTGCAATTGGATAGAGTAGTGTCAGCAGAATATTCTTCAGTAGTTGAAAACCTAATTTCAATGTAACAGTGTAGTGATAATGGTTTGCATAAACACTGCATACCTAGACATAGCTGTAGTTTTAATTTTGGGCACTAGAGGGAGCTTCTGTAATAATTGCTCTTGAGGGCAATGATTCTCTTGACTTGCCAGGATTTGTTGGGGCAAAGTTTGATACGTTGACAGATTATGTTCACAGAAAGCTGGAAGATTTGACATGTTTGTGCCCCAGAATGCAGGACTTGTCACAGTCACCAGTACACCCCTGAATGCAGGCCCTGCGTTACGTACGCTCCTTGGAAGGCCCATCAACGAGAAGCTTCTGTTACTCCTACCCATCGGCTATCCTGCCCACAATGCCACAGTCCCCGACCTTCAGAGGAAAGACCTCAAGGACATCATGGCTGTGATGTAATATGTAGGTGAGGGATGGCTGAAAATAGAGTCTGCAGAATGTTCTGCAAATCTTTATTATCTAGTAGCACTATTGCTGTGGATCCTGGTACTATCGCTGTGAATAGTACCAGGAAGGTTGATTTGAAATATTTGTTGTTCACATTTCTGCCAGTAAGGACCAGAGGGACATAATGGTTTTGTTGTAATCTAAAAAAGAGGTCGGGAGCTTAAACATGGAGTCTGCACAGTGTTAGTTTCTGTATGTCTGATTTTACTTCCTCTTGGGCTATATTGTCCTTGACTCTAGATTCAATTATGAAGGGTTAAAAGAACATCAAGAGTATATTAGGTCAAGAGATCTACTACCTTAGATAATATGAATTAACATGTTGATTGGAAGAAAGCTTCTGTACACAAAGAGTGGGATCTGTCTATACCCAAGTTCTTGTTGACGAGTATAACTATGATGCAAAGTTTCTGCCCTGAGTTTATGTTTTGAAACTACAGTATATGATAGTTTCAGAAGTCTTAACTGGTCTTACCAGGCAGATGACACAATAGAAGACTCTACAGACAGATTTAGCACATAAAACACAGCTTTATTCACATGTTGCACTGAACATCAAATTAACCTAGCTGAAGGCCCAATGATACACTCCCAGAACAAGCAGGATTATACTGAAAGGCAACTGACATCTCATGAAGTTAGAGGCACCGTTCTGGTGGAAGGATGAAGTCATGAAATATGAAAATCATTGTCTTCACTTGGTTGGCAGAAAGATTACATTGATCCATTAATAGTTTTATCAAGTTCAGATAAGAAAATTATGGGATATTGGAGTTTTGTTGTACATGGCCATGAAATTTCTGTTTTATGTCAACATATCGGTAGCCTATTTGGGTTCAGCACCAGTCACCAGCCATGAAGAATGTTGCAGACTACCAAAACTTTGGCATTACAAACATTGAAGCATGGCTGTAGTGTGTATTTCTCCTATGCTAGCTATTTCCCTTTTGTGTGTTTTACAACTGAATACAGGTTGAAGATACACTTTAGAGTGTATAGCCTTGGCCTTCAGCTTACAAACAGAGAACTGAGGCAAGAATTCATTAGTAAAGGTGTCCATCACCTTTTAAGCATGTTACACTAACATTACTGACAACCGTTGGAAGATATTTCACATGTAGCACAGGCAACACTTTCAGTAAGCAAACAAAGGCTAATAGAATTCTGCAGCTCATTCTTATATTACTTCCATTAACAACTGTGATTGGATTGCTGTAGGATTTCATAGAAGTGTAAGACTGCATTGTCAGTATGTACAAGTAATTTTGTATTACTATTAGCAGCCTGGATCCGTTGACTTCAATTAAGTGCAACAACGAAAATACTAAGAATATGAATATCTACCTAAAAATATCTGTCATATCAACATTTGCGTAAAAACTGCTATGTTTAAAAACATGCATGTGATACACTTCTTACATTTAAGATTTATATTATAACTAATTCGTTCTTTCTTTTAAAATCTATGGCTGAAAACTTGTTACAAGGCCAAGCACTTTTTGACACGTGGGAACAAGTGTTACTTACAATAAAAGGCACTGCCCTGGGGAGTTGCCAAACTAGTAGTAAAGTTTGTTTACAGGGAAGAAATAGATATCTTGACATATAAACAATATGTATGACATGACACTAGTGTCATGGAAACTACTACCTCAAAATCCTACCACTAGTAGTACCAGTGTGTTTTAATTAAGATCAATGTTGCAATTTGTAATTAATATTAATACTGGAATATATTCTATATCTAAAGATAAAAGAAAACAGACACTTTAGTCTCCTTTTGATTTTTGAAAGTGACAATTTGTCCAGGTATATAGCTGAATTGTAAACATTCTACCAACATTACAGTACATATAATGTACAAAGTATCCAAGTTCTCTGTGAAAGCACAAACAAGACATGCCTCTGCAACATCACCCACTTTAATACTAACAAACATGGAATGGTGCAGATTGTGGAATCTTGTGTCTTGCTGCAGGTGATAAGGTAAGAGATGACTGACAGGTGTACAGTTAGTTATCTTGCTGAGTTTCCACTCAATTTCTGAAGCTTCTGGACTCGCTGGAGCAGCTCCTGAATGAATTCCTGTTGGAATAGAAAACAAAAGGATTTTTATGCAAATTTACAAGTTGATAGTACTAAAAATTTAAAAAAAGGTTTTTCCGCAAGGCCACTTTATAAGTTCGTTTGTGATGTCATAAAATGGGGGAAAGATAGAGATCTCTTAATGAAATTGATCCAAATCTTCATATCAAAAGACCTCAAATCCTATGAAGCTTTTCCACCATGTTGCTCAATTCTTGTTGACTGTGGAACTTTCCCTAGGCTCAGTATTAGACAGTTAAACCTGTCACTTGATATTCAAATCACAATGTAGTCCACAAATGCTGACAAGCAAATATGAATTTGGAAATTGGACAATCAGTTTACAGACCTAAGGAACAAGAATAACAAGGGACAGATACTTACATCTGTTGGCTTCTTACAATCAACAAGCAATTCCTGTAAAGAGACGAAAAAGATATGTAAGTACCGGTATGGTAATGTGTAACTATACGTACGTAGATTCCTTTGGCATTTCTTTTGTATGTGTACTGAGTAATCCCTAATCATGGCCACTATCTCTCCTATGATATTTCTGCATAAATTTACAACTGAAGTCCTATAACCAGATGCTTTCTTTTCTCTTGATGTAAATCCTAACAGGTATTTTTTCTGATTCATGGCCAGCCTGAGGGTGAGTTTTCCTTACAAGACTCACTGCTGCATGAATGTGACGTTATGTGTCAGATTAGCTGCCAACCAATGGCTGATCAATGAATTTTCTCATTGATTATCTTTTGTCCGTTCCTGTTCAACAAAGCAGAGGTCACGGTCGGGCCATGATATTTGAACAACCCACAGGCAATTTTTCACCTGTGACTTATCAATATGATTGGAATATTCGTGAGGCACTGTCTACCTTCACAGGTGGTCCAATCTTTTGTATGAAGACAAGGGGATGAATGGATCTCTGACCAGTTTAGCTCACAGTAGAGAGCAAATCTTCCACTGGTTGTGACAGGAAAGATGGACAGCTGTGCACCATGTTCAGCTTCATTGCACATGTACTGCAGTAATTCACCTAGCTCTTTTTGACAAATACAGTGAACAGGAGGCCATGGTTTAAGACCAACAACATCTGGAACTGAAACTCCAAACCTTGTGGTCCATAGACAGGGGTGCTGACCACTAGACAATTACAGTATTTGTGTGCCATTAGTCAGTGTGGCTTGTCTGAGAGGCGTTTACCCAGGACTAGGTAAATATATACATAGCTTACAAAATCTCTCTCACATTCATGTCCAAAGTTTGTGCTGTCACAAAATGTTTGCTCCCTTCTGACGTAGGTATTTCGTTTCCTCATTCCAACATGCTAAAGTCACGTCTTGTTTGATTAATCTTGCAGACATGCTAAGAACTAAAGAACAGTCGGCATCCAGAAGAGTATCAGAAGACTTCATGAATTTTGAGTCAACATCCTCATTTAAGCATGCCAGGTCCTTTCTGAATAATTTGTAGGACACATGTTGATCAAAGAGCTTTTTAAGAGCACCTAAACACTTGATGAATCATTTCATGAAAGGAGGACAGGAATATACATTGTACTTCAAGATATGGAAAAGAAAAGAAATCATACCTTCAAAAATTCTACCCTTTCCTCTTCTGTTTGGAGTTCTAACATTTCATCTATGTCAATCTCTATTTCGTAATCTTCATCTTCCTGAGGGAACAAAACAAAAGTGTCATTAGTTAGAATGTTTTTGTAAAAAAAATTCTGTTGTGTATTATAATACCTTGCACGTGTCCATATTATTCCATCTATAGATGTGCAGATAACAAATCAAATATACAGGTTCATAGTTATGACAGGCACATATTACATAAATGTCAATCAAATCTAAATCAAATCAGGTATAAGAATTCTATTATATGGAAGAACCTGTGTGGAAAAATGACATGAAATAAAATTAAATATTGAACACTATAGCAGTGAACAATTATTCAGTCAAGGAATTCTTGTGTTAGCCATGGACTTGGAAAATGGTGATGCAAGTTAAGGACTGTTATGCTAGGAAATCTTGCATCATATCTTATGTATCTTATGTCTTGTGGAGTAAGCATGTTAATTCTGATATTCAGGCTGAACCAGATTACTTGGATTTGAGAAAAAGAAAACTATTTGTTTGTTGTGCCATGACTTGCTTTGCCAAGGTGACTCACTTGAATTCATCTCTGTCAGTCACATTGATATTATGAAATTGACAAGAACATGTAAGAAACATATCAGTCAATACCTAAATTTGTCTTCCCTTACAGCATGCATGGTCTCAGAAATTATTGAATACCATTAACTTTTAAAGATAGCAATGATTTGCCAGTTACGATTACTGTCTGGCACAGTCTGCATTTCAATTAGTTGCTAGCATTGAAAGTGATTTATGACAAATGCAATACATATTAAAAAAGTGTATTGTACTTAAGCATCACTAAGTATTGTCCCTGTGGTACTTTTAATATCTTTAGGCATTTGCCAGACAGATTTCAAAACAGAACCTCTAATAGCAAGAGGTTTTTAAGCAGTTTAGTCTTTGGAGAATACTGGGTGATTCAAAGGATGAGTTCATACCCCTAAGTTAAGTGGAGTGAAAGTTCCCACCTGAGGATAACACACCACAATAACAAGTACCATGTCGTGACTCAAATATCCATTCAACCTGCACGACTCATAAATAATTCCACACTCACACAAAGATAGCTGTCTCTCGTTTTCAAGCTAATTCCTCACTAGCCTTGTTCATCTCTTCCTCTAATGGTCAGAGCTGTTCATATTAGCAAAACAATTAAAGGTTTTAAAGTGGGTGTTGTTCGGAATCTTATGTAGCTGAAATTATGTTTATTCTTTCCATGTCTTGCTAAGAACAACCTTACCACTATGAACTCTAATGGATCCATTGATGTAACTAATATTCATTGCCCGATCATACAAGGTCTATCTTACAATTGGTCATCCCCAAGGGGTTCATGCAGAAATATGTGCAGGCAAGCACATTTCCATGGGGTAAGAACACAGTAAAACCTGTCCTTGTGTCTCAGTGTGAGGCCATACAGAACTTGTCTAATGTGTGTTTAGTGTCTCCATAGAGGGATTATGATGGAGACATGACTGTGGGTCTGGTTTTGAGCTGGTTTGGTGCAAGCTAGAGATGTTGTCCCTCTTCTAGGCACACGATCACAGGTGATTACAACACCCAACGTGAGCCAAAGAATTTTGCTGTCTGTTGACTTGTTGATATAGAAAGCTGTTTCTTTTTTCTGACCTCTACCAAACCTCTCCATAAGATGCAATTACATCCTAGCTGATTGGAATGTTTGCCCAACAGTCTGCTGAGGTGAGACCCAAATGTACCTGTACGTGCCTGCTGTTTGTAATGTGTTTGCCTCCTGCCAAACAAGTTCAGTCTGCACAACTCTGTCAAAGATCAACATCGTACATCAAAGAAACCTGACACTGTATTCCATATTTTGTATCACATATTTCTGAAGCTGTAATCTATTCTGTCAAGAAATGATTTAAGTGAATGTGTCAACAAAGGATAAAATGTGCAATTCATATTCATGCAGGGTTAGATAGACAGGATGGACATTTATCAGGTACAATCTATTTTTGTCTCTAATGGTCATTCATGACTGACCCAACATGTGACTTCATTTTAGACACTCAATCAAAATGTCATTTTGTTATTACAATGCCAGTTTCACTGGAACATAACTTAGGGGTGCTGTAAAACAGAAACTAACAGAAACTACACATCAATAGTTCTGATATTGAGAGAATTCTTTGATCCTGTAGCTGCTAAAATAACCTGTGTTAATTAATGGCAGCTTTTATTGTTATATCCTTGAATCAATACTTCAAGTGCATTTAAGTCATCACATCTTTTAAAACTAGCCAAAGTGTTTGGTTTGGCTATAATATGACATTTGTAGGATCCATGTGTTAAATCAACATGTCTGCACGCCCTCCTTATTCCATACAATGCCTGTCATCTCAAGGCAACTAAAAATAGATTCTACATGACGTGAACATACAAACTTCTTTCAACCTCCCCTTTACCGTGTGCTCCCAGAAGTGTTTGTCTGAAGCTGAGACTGTAAAGGGAGCGGTTTTGTTTGAACGTGGACAACCATTCTGGACGGACAGGCTGCCTTAGGAAATTTGTCATGCATGACAACTTTAAACAGGGACAATTAGATGGACAAACAATGGTTACGGTTGTTCACCTGCCTCAAAATGGCTGTTTGCAATGTGTATGCACTTTCACACTTGAATACTATGTAAGCAAGTTTGAAGAAATTATGAAACAGGATTTTTGAATTGTAACTTTTAACACTGAAAGATTGGAAGACACTTGTTACTTTTCTAATATCTCTAAAATCCCAATAGAAGAAATAGGAGGTTTCTGTGACAAGATTGATGTCTTTTACCTGTGCTAAGGAGGTCAGCCTTTGTGGACTAATGTTAAAAATGTTATAAATGGATTTGCATGACCTTTTTGTACGAGTGAGGAAGGGAAAGATCTTGGTTGGAGGAACATTTTTCCGTCCATTTCACATCATCCTCATCCCCCTCCTGTCACTATAGCATCATGACCTTCCAGGATGTCGGTAATTTTCTCAAAAGGAATGCAATTTTGGACAAGACCAGGTTGCTGACGTACTGTTTATGCAGTTCCAACAACTCTGGGAGAGAAAAAATGTGAAGAATGGGTCATGTACTAAATCAACAAAGCCTTTCTGGGCAAAGTCTATCTCTGTCGGAAGCATGGGAGTACCGCTGCCAGCTGGATACTGAAGTCACCTAGGTGATGCCAGAATGCTGCATCTTTTTTCAGATGCAGTCATCATATATGATCTCATGTCTACTTCCTGTAGAGACTCTGAGGACTACAACTTCAGCATTCCTGCCGTTTTAATGAAGCCTAAATGGGGTACATATCAGTGCATAAGATATCAGCCCTTGGCATCATTCTGTCTCGGGAGACCATGGACCAGATTAGACATTTCAAACAAATAAGTTGACATGACCTTGGAAGAATGTTGTCTTGTACATCAAACAAGTAATTAACCCTTCTCCCCAACCCACCTACTCCTAACTGATTAGGTCTATCCTTTTTTGTCTAATTGCACAAATGTCAATAACCTCATCTTTTATTTTCTTTTTGGTGGGCTCACTATATTTTGAAGCCTTTTCTAGTTTAGATCTGTAAAGGTTGCCATGCTTGGAAGTTCCCCAACTTCTTAAGGGAGTAAAAGGCAAAACCTCCCATCCATAGACTTGAGTGGTAATTCCTCAAGAGCCCTTTACCCCAGTGTTGTTCGCACCACAGGTAATTATCCTCTACAAATGGCCCACATTTAAGCTATAAAAGCTGTGGCAGCCCTTGGCAGTGTGGTTCGAACTTCTTGGAAGGTACTTCAGTAGAGCTTTCCCAGGATCTGGCACACCTGGGAGCTGAGTGACTTACAGTGATAACCCGAAAATGCCTTTAACTTTATAGTAAATCAGGTGCCAGACAGATCATTATTTTACAAGCAATTTTACACCTGAACTACCAGGAGCTTATCTGATCTATGAGAAAGACTTAAAGCAATTATCTATGCCCTACAGGCATGTCTACAAGGTCAGGCTAGTACATGTAATGTCACCAAGAAGTTTGGATTAACAAGTTTGACTTAACTTTCTGAGCATATTTCTTTGAAAACTAAGGATCTTCTGAATAACCTTTTATTGAACCAGTTCCTTCAAAGGGACTGGAAATAATGGTTGCCTGTTCTGCAGCAGACTGATGAGGGTGAATTCCATCAGAGAACTTAGTCTTTACTGTATTTACTACCATGGCACAATCCAGGAGGGGTCACAGGTGCATGGGAACCCCTGGGGCTCACTCTATCACTGTCTCACAGATAATTATCTACTTATGTGTGTTCTAAATCCATACTGCCCCTATAGCTACTTCTGCAAACCCCCTTCAAAACAACTTGTTTGATCCTCAGTACACCTCTGCCCTCAGGAATACAGGGATTTTCCATAACATTAAGGAGTCTTCTCTTATTTTTTGTTGCATAACCATATCCTATTCCAAATGAAATGATAAAATATGTTAAGTATGTTCTTCCAGGTTAAAAGCAAGTGATAATATCTTACCAAACTTTTGTACATTAATTGGATATCTGTGACAGTCAGTGATCTTTATCTGACTGATATCCATCAATTTTGGATCAGGGATCATGGGTCCTGTGATCGTATCAGTAATTTGGTTCATAATGAGTACACATTTCCGGCAGCTAGTAGGCACAAGGAGTAGGCACAAGGACCTTTTGTGACCTTTTCAGTCTATTCATATCTGACTGCAATAGCATATAGCAAAGTGTTGGCTTCAATTTGGCTTATTCAGCAGCACATTCTAACTGCAGTATATATATACTAACATGCACAAAACATGTGCTTCTTACTGCTAAATACATTCACTTTTCAACATGGTGTTTTCTTCTTTATGGCAACTCCTTTGATGTAGACATGGATTTGTCCCCTTTTCATACTATTTGCTTGTTTAATCTTGGTTACCTGTCATGTTTACCTTACTTTCATGTGTTGTTGAACAAACAAACTTTAGGTGGACAATAACACGTACAGGCTATGTATCAACCCTGTATGTATGCAAGGCTCACAATGACATGAATACTTTCCTTCAATTACTATACTATTCCTACAATTTCATCCGATATAACTAGTTAGTTGCTTGTATGCATGGATAAGAGTGATCTGGATAATGTAATTATAATCCTCTTGGGGATTCATGCAATTTTCTATAACTCAATCATAGCACTGTAACAGCAGTGAAAACTGTGACATTACATTAAGGTCTCGCCAGTTTTCTTCTTGGGCTCTCCAACATTTTAAAGTAAGAATATGTAAAAAGTCACGCAATTTCCTCTAATTTTTGTTTGGATCTTCCAGTCTAGCTTTCTTTGGAATCCAATAATAACAAATTGACTTGGTGCTGTCGCATCTTTAAAAGATGGATGGTTTTGTTCCTGGTGCAGTTTCCCAGCAATGACTGGTACCCTGCCATGCCTGTCATTGCATGGCTGGACAAACAGAGAAGTTTATCTTTGACTAGACAACATTTACCCAGGCTCAATGGGATCTGCTTAGGCTGGGCCACACTGTGGGCTTATCAAGTGGACACTGTTTGGGGGGTGCATGTCATTGTCCAGACCTGGCTGCATAGTAAACACCACAACCCTCAAGCCTGCTCCAGTAATATGTCATGGCACCTAAGAACAGAATTTAGAGACCATTAGACAGGTCTTCTTCTAACTGATTTCTTGACGTTTTTCTTTTCCTTCTTCTTCCCGAAGCATTTCTTAGTACTGCTTTATTTTGTATCGGTTGTTTAGTTGTTGTTGGTGACCTGTCTAGGCTTAAAGCAGAGATAAGGTATGTCCAAGAGGAATAATCTTACATTACCGCTAGCTAGCACCATGTCCAAATCACCAGGAATACCAATGCATGATTGCTTAACCTATGACATGACCAACCATCCCTGGGTTGGCTGTAAACATGTGTGATGTTTGGAACAGCAGTCCTGCCAGGTGTTCTACCTGTGATTACCTGGCCCAAAGCTCACCTGCACACCAACGTTATTAGATCACTGTGTGTAATTGCCGCTGGGCTGAAACACAATGAAGCTGTTTCTACCTGTGAAGGCCTTGGTCCCTCTTTTGTTCATACTTGTTGATGAGTAACCTGTCTTTAGTTCACCGACAGAAAACAGCATAATCTGTTCCTTTTACCTTGCAGGATTACCAAGCACTCTCTGCCCTTCAGCTTTGGATTAACTTGGATTTATATCTGACTGCTTTGCAATAAATACATCAAAACATACTGACTTTCATGGTATTTGTGCTTTCATTTTCTCAGTCATAGTAGAACATGCATATTTACACAGTCAGGGCGCCAGTGGGCCTGAGGTTAGAATCTGCTAAGATTTATTAGAGTGTTTGCATTGTAAAAAATAAAGAGAAGTTGTTGAACGTTGCTGTGGACCATGGCGTCAGCAGATTGTGTTACCTCAACGCACACTAATCTATCAGTTCTCCTGGTGGAATCCTTGCTCCATGGAAGGAGTCTCTTCTGCCGGGAAATTTCTCCCACAATTATAATGATTTCCAAAATACGTCAAACTGGCTAAATTGCCCAATTAGTGTTATTCCATGGTTGGTGGGGTGGCTGCCTGACCTTTGAGTCAAAAGCCTTGAAGATAAACAGAGCTAGCAAGAAGGTAACAGTGACTATCCAGGAAAACGGGTTTATATTAGCAGGATCTTATACCTGATAAAGAATTCCATCTGGTTATGTGAAGTCTGGTAGGAATGAGGTCTGATTGTATTCTTGGATACTTTGATTGTGACCCCAGGTCAATTACAGCTTCCCACCAGAGAATTACTTAGCAAAGGAGCCCCCCCCCCTTGTTGCCACCTACTGATTACTCCTTCCTTGCTTGATTGAATGTCCCTTCCTTGACTTGAGTGAACAGAACAACTGTGTGAAATTAGGAGAATGTTGGCTTGACGACCAAACAGTACCAACAAACTGGCCCAAAATAACCTGGTGAAGTTAGATAGCCAGAGAAGTCTAGTTTTTACTCTTCACTCCACTCCACTCAAAAAAGAGTCTGGTTGAGACTACCTAGTACCTATGGTGCAGGTTGACCCTGTATAGAACTCAATGGCCCTCCTTAAAATACACTCACAGTCCTGCCTGCTGTGGCTTCTGTTACTTTCTGCCTCCTTTGTCAAGAAGGCACCTGTGTACATATTATTTAAAAAATAGCTACTGCATAGAAATACATGTCGTAAATCTTTCATTTTCTACAAATTGCGCCAGTGGGCATGCATTGATATCAAGATTTTGTAACAGGAAAGATAGTGCATAGCCTAATATTGATCCATTACAATGTAAACCTCAATTGCATGCTGTAAATCATCTTGACTTGTTTGGCTTGACCCAGCAATTTACTCTGAGTCTGACCTTGCAACACTAACTAAGCCCCAAAATTACACCTTCCAACTTAATTCCAGTGGAGTTTGTTACTTACAATATGATTTGCCTGCTGCTAAGCATGAAATCTATTGAAAAATTTCTAGAGAAGTTGCACTGGCCTTGGACCCGTATTATTACAAGGCATGGATGCGTGCATGCCAGAGCGTTGTTGTTTTCACTCCAACCCTGGCTCTTGGAAATAAAGCCAGTAGTCAGCTCCCAGCCCTGGAGACAGCTAACAATGCAGTGGTCCTCATCAAAGCTGACACACAGTACAATGATGGCTCTGTGTTCTAGCATTAATTATTGATACAGGCACTGTGTCGCTCAAATCAAACCTTTAGCAATATTTTTGTTAGCTGGTGCCCATCTGGTTCTGGTAATGTTACAAGTGTGTGCTAGCTGAGTCGAAAACTGCCAACCAAAGAAGACCACCGCACAATTATGTCTTGGTCACGGGTTGTTGAACATGGTTTGGATACAATAAGTGTTCTGTTTCGCTACTTTCTTTACACATAGCCCGGGTTGTCGTAAGGATCCCAGTGTGTCCCATGGTTTGCTGAAACCAGATCGTTGAACACCCCATTGGCTGCTTGGATAATAATCCCTGAGGAACAAAGGAAGATCCTGAAATTTCAGGCGAGGCAATATTCAACTTTTGCCCCCTGGGTGTGCACGGTAAGGTGTGCCTGTACCAGCAGGCACCTTAGGCAGAACTGGAGGGAGACCTTTCACTTTCAGTCTTCATGATGCCATTACCTACATTTCCAGCAATTTCTCCTGATTATCTTAATTGCCCACTAACTTATGACCTATTTTCACATTTTATGCTGGTATCAACAAAAAGACACAAAGGGAGAGGGGACACCACCTCCCTAGAAAACACCCAAAACAAACATCTGCCTCAGGGTGTCCGTTATAAGGTGAAGCCAAGCGATTTCACACTCAATCAAGTAGTTTATCTACAGTAATACCATTTTGTTTTGCGTGGGTTGATTTATCTGCTAATGATGGGGTGGGACCAGTTTCAGTGCCCCTCCCTCCCCACCCACCAGGGGACCTGTGGTTCCGCCTTCCTACCACCGGCGTTACGCGCCACAGGTCAACCGATCACTCCCAACTAGCGTTACACGCTTATCGGATCTGTTGGGCCGTTTTACATGAGTGCATGGCTGCATCGCGAATGGATTGGTACCGCTGGGAGGAGGGAAAGTGTGAACTGTTTCACTATGGTAGTGACGAAGTAGTCATACAGTTACAACTCTTGTTGCAAGTGTGGCTACGACCGAACTTGCCCTTATAACATGATGTAACCTGTTATTACGTAACAGCTGTTGGTGATTCGGCATATATGCACTTTTGAAAATATATCCTATCCTCAATTTTAGAGATATGAGGTCAAACTTTGTCCTACATAGCTAGATTTTGGCCCCATACAACGCAGCAATGCACACAAGTTTACACAAACTGAAGTATCCGGTGGGGGAGGGAGGGGAGTCGTACTCACGTCGCATTCGTAGATATCTCTGAGTGCCTCGTCAACCCACTCTTCCAGCTCTAACCGCCGCTTCAGCAGGGCCCGGTTGTACTTGACCGTGGCTTTGACGTTCCTTCGGGGCGCCTGTTGCGGCTGGACGGGCTTGGGTGCGACGCTGTCGGACGGGGAGCCGAAGCTGACTCGTGCGGCCATGACTGGGTTGTGTTGACACAGAGTGTGGAGCGATCCGCTACCCTATGTAAACACCTGAGGCACAGGTACACAGCGATCACTCCGCCGACTCACGGGAGGCTCCTTTTGGAAACAGACTGCTGCGATCTGAACAAAGTTGTTTGGCCCTCAAGATGGCCCTTATCACCCAGACACAGAAACGTCTCCACAAACAACTTGATATTTCCCTTGGGAAGCGTCACCAGGATGGGACAGCGGGACTATGTTTTGATGCGGATTTAGGCGGAAAGGTTGCGTGATGAGAACTGGTCTTTGAACAGGGTCCACGCTGTGCGCTTGCGTGTCAAACCAGACTCAAGTCCTGTCGGTCTGATCGATGGTTTGTTGGAACATCAGTACAAAACTCTGTAGAGTCGAGGGGCGGTCCTCTTTAAATGGCTTTGTATGTCTTGAAACCAAACTTGGGCGGCCAGCCAATAAGGAATTGATTTCTTAACTCTTAACCCAATACCATTCCCATGAGAAAGTGATCCCTGTATGTTTCCCCCAAATATTGTTGAATCCTCTGTAAATATTTCATTCTCGAACCTGTAAACGGAACTGCATGTTCAAATTTGCTTTGGGACAAGGATCTCTCAAGGTGTGTTCCCAGGTACTTAACTAGTGTTGACAACTAACGATAGCGATGGTGTGACTTTACACGAAAAAGTCGCAGACATGTCATTTGAAATCTAGGCTATGTGTCTAACATTCACTTTTTCAGTAATAGCATACTAAGTACTTTGCAGTAAAATGCAATTGTCTAAACCTTCACCGTCGAAGCTTACAAACTAGACAATATTAATGAATGAATGAAGACCTCAGTTATTGTACATTTTGCCCCACTGGGCTAAAGACAGGTCACATATTGACAAAGTACATCAATTTTGATAATAAAACGGCTATAGTATACAAGTACTTTCAACTTCCTCTCGCTTTCTGGTCATCTTATAAATGTAGTTGGCTGTATGAGTAGTTGGAGCTGGTTTGATAAAGACTACAAGGAATATAAATTTCTCTATACTATTCAAATACTTAAATTGGGAGTATTTGCTTGACACAACATCGAAAAGAATGTTTCTTTCGCTGTCATACATGGAACAATCCACAATAAAATGTACCTCGTCTTCTACTTTACCTAAACTACAATATTGGCAGATTCTTTGCTCTAGAGGAGCAAATGGCACAGCTGTCAAATGTCATAAGTAGCCATGGGCAACGATATATGGTTCTGAAAATATAACTTGATTGTACATGGAAGAAGAAACACAATATGATGGCTATTGAGCACTAATGTGGTTACTATGTGACGAATAGAGCACGACTCCGAGAATATCACATTATTGTCATTACTATAAGTGCTGTCCGGAAACTCAGACCGTAATTCTTCATCCCAGAATCAGATTTCCGAATCTCATTACGCGTTTCTTTTGAGATTTCGTTATATTCAAATCCCATACTCGGAGAGTCACAGGGGTGTTTCACTGATCACTTAAAGCTGACTTGATCTTGTGCTCTCTACAATGTAGTCTCTATCAGATAGGCTGACTACCCGACATCAATAAATTGTAGCAACATTCTCTTGTTCCTATCTGTGCGATTTATTCAGCCTGGAGATGGCATTCTAGTGGACAAACCCAACTACTTTACAGGATGCTAGGATAAAGAGCCGATCAGTTGACACAAAATAGCCTTCTTTTTCTACCCCACGTTCAAATTCAAGGACTAAACTCGGGTTGATGAATGATGAGCTATCATCAAGACAACCATGGAGTTAGATTTTCAGACACCTCAAACGGACAAACAGAGTTAGACAGGCGAGGGAACAAGTACATGATTGATCAATGGGTTCAGTCCACTCTTATCTGTACCGGAGCCCACAAACAAAACAAAAAACTTTGTTGTTTTGACAGCCTTGAGGAGGTATTTAATCACAGAATGTCACTCTGGATTCAAACGTATATCAACGACATGAAGACGATTGCTCGACATCCACCTGAAATTCATTATGTTGCTGATTCATTGGTCTTCAAGTATATGTGGTGAATTTGATTAATTTCTGTACGTTTTTTTTTAATACAGTACTTTGCAAAGAGACTGGTGGAGTCGGAGTCATTCAGAAACTGGCTCCCTCCTACGCGAGGAGACATCAGCTCAAGAGACACTAGAAACAAGCACCGCCTGACTGGGATAAGAACTAAGACAAAAAGATACCAGAACAGTCCAATTCCTTTCATGACTCGCCTCCTGAATGAAACAGATCTGTGATCGAATATTGTTCTAATTGCCCGACGTAAATGACATTTACCTATACCCATTGTTATCTGTAGAACGTTATATTTACCTTGTGTACCTTTACATATATGTGTGTGTCGTTAAGTACTCCGACGTATCCGTCATACAACCTACCTGTTTTAAGGTAGTGTTTCTTATGTTTTAGAATTGTTAATTGAGAAAGATGAGTTTTTGCCAGTATTTAGAGTCTACTTTTAACTGTTTTTAAATGTAAAAAGTACGCAATTCAGCCCATGGCTGCGATGTACTTTATCTGATCAAAATGATCGAATAAACCATTCATTCATTCATTCATTCATTCATTCATTCATTCATTCATTCATTCATTCATTCATACTTGTCTTCATACACGTGTATGTTTGTCGCTCTGGTTTTGCAATGGGATGGTGACAGAAGGTATACCACAGACTGCACTAGGTAAGGCGCACAAAAACAAGTCAAAACGTTACATCTCCGTTCCGTCGAATACACGGGAATAGTCGCTTCCTCTTTGTTACTTCGCTTGGTTAAATCAGCCAGGCCCGCCCTCGCTAATCGTTGATCATCCAAAAATAACAGACACGTGTCACACAATGTGATGTCTTTCATCATTTTCACACACAATTAGACAGGTCATGAAATGAAGTGAACATATTTGAAGGAAACAAAAGCACCGGCTCACAAATGTGTTGCACAGCTCTTTGTTTTCGATCACATTTTCTCGCTACTTTAATGCTAATGAGATGACAGAAACGACCGATACCAGACATTCGTCACTACTTAGTAACGGAGGATTTGTTTACATTTCATCCAATGTTTTTGCAAAAGTGCGACTGAGAAGCTTGTCACCATACTGGCATACAGACGCCTACCAACCTTTAATTTTTATGAACGCAATAACTTTAGACGGCCATCACCAGACACACGACTGTTTCGGGAAAAACTATAACATGTAAACAGGTCAGCCCAATGTATGACATGCTTGCACGGCAGTCCAGTGCTTATGCGAAATTTAGATGTATGAAACGGTTCAATGAAATGCCTGTATATAACGCATAGCGTTACTCGCCCCACCCGTGATAAATTATTATCTACTTGAACGTCTCAAAAACATTCACAGAAACGTTTCCATGGTTATGAATATACCACCGTTTCAAGCGGCCATATTTGACGAAAGAAACAAGAAAGGAAGTTTCTAAAATCCCTCGTCGGTGGGAACATTCCTTGGCAAGGGCACTTGAAGGGTTCAGAAATTTGAAAGATAAGTTATCTACTATCTCTGTTGGAATCTCCTTATCTACTATATATGGAAAATTGATGTCTACGGAGACGGTTTTACTCATTGAGGTCGAGAAAAGAAGTTTCCCATTGTGAGAATCGTGACTTTCCACTAATCTCCAAGCAGATTCGGTGGGGCAGGGGGACTTTATATTGGCTCGTTGTACGAACATGACGGTATGTGTTGGAAATGGTGTGAAATGGTGACAACAACATACAATGGTGGAACAGAACTGCGCACGACGTTTTGTGTAGGCAGCGAAGCGCAAGGCATGTCTTTATCCTGCATTCCACTATATGCATTATAAAATAGACATTACATTAAGCAGCGACGGCATCTAGCGGTTAATGTTAGCTATTGCAGCTACGGGTCACTTACAGAATGCCCTTACTTACACCATGATCAATCACATTTCGATCTACATGTACACGAAGAACAGTTTCCTTGAAAGATCAATACCATGCAGATGAATGAATGATGTAACGTTACTGCTAATGTCATCGACGTATTATTACGTATACCTCCAATCCGGGGAAAGAGATATCCTTCGGGGAAGGGTACTGTTTCCTATACTTTTGTGTTAGCAGCTGTAGCTCACTGTGGGTTTGACGGATTTCTTTGATTTTCGGTGTATGATTATTTATTGGGCGGGTCCAGATATGCGAATTGCTTTTTTTCATCCTGTGTTTTCATGGGTTGAAATAAAATAATTGGACGCCTCCATATACAGCACGCGGTGTGATCGTCTAATCATCGGATTTGGTACTGAAAGTGTACGCAGTAATCCGTCGGGGTTAACGTTCTACTGTTTTTTTTTTAATGGGGTGTCTGGCTACGATAAAACTATACAGT